ATATTTTTCTATTTAATGCTCCTAAATGCTATTATATCATTCATTTTAATACGTTGGCTTTTTTTGTAATATTTTTTTCTTCTAAAACATCTCTGTCGAAAACCGACCACTGTGAAATAATTTCACACATCGTCTTTGCCTTGGAGTCTGAGGGGTTTTTTTACGGGTCAACTCATCTTTCTGTAGCTTTTCAAGATCCCTTTGAATTTTTTCATCCAATACGATATATATCGATGAACTTTACCTGTCAAAACTTCTCTAATACCCCGTATCCATGATGCCCTTTTGCTTAGAGTTCTATTATTTCCTTGTTGGTAAAGGTCAGTTGGTCACTTATTGATGAAAATAAATATGGGATTTTGAAAAATTGAGGTCCTTAACATCTCTTTAATGCTCCTTGAAATAAGGAAAAAAGAAGATTTAGATGTTTGCTGGTTGGTTTTTGTCGTGGAATATTTTTAAATGAGGAATAATGTTTTTTGAAATTCGCACGTTGTGAATATTTTAAATGATGTATTTACAGGGATCTACTGGTAATATACATCATACATAATATGCTACTTCCTTCGAAAAACTATACTTTTAAACCTACACGTGCACTTTTCACGCATCTCGCGTATTTATGTTGTTGTTACATTGGCTTTCACGGAAAGCACGTTTATGCGTTTTCTATCCTTTACTTACCAAACGTGAAATCAATCATAAAATTACATTCCATATATACGTTGAATAAAAAATTAAATACAAATTATCAATATTTTATTCTTACCACGTTTTAATCAATCAAAATCATTGCGTGACTATTGTTATAATAATTTTAGTTATTATTTTACAAAAATTTGCCAATTGCTTAATTTTACAGCTTTCTAACATTTTTCATCACCATTAATTGATTAATATCCTCATATACATCTACTCATGTGATTCCATTTTTTTTACTCAAATATTTCGAATAACTAAAAGCTCCAAAAAGTCTTCAAATAAAAAAAAATCTGTTTGTTAATAATTTTTTAATAGTTATACTTTTTGTTGGTGAATAAAATTGATGTATTTTCTTGAACAAGAATTTTTAGATTGTAAAAAATAGACTAATATTAATAAAATAATTGAACCATCACATTTTTTATTAGACTTGATATATGAGTGTCTTTATTAAGAACACAAAAGATGAAACCCTGGTAGGAAAAATCACAGTGCGTGATTAACGTTGAGAATTCGACCAAGAAGAAGAACTTGTGGGCATTTAAATGAAAAGAAAAAAGAATGTAAGCAGAATGGGAAAAATTGCGTTGATGCCGAGGGTAGAATTGAAGTTGAGTTCCACCCACGTATGTTATGTGTTTCATGCCGCTACCATTGGGATCCTTGTAAATTCTAGGACGCTGGAAGTAAAGGACGAATGAAGAGGGAGAGTGGTAGAGAGAGAGTCTGGCAAGCGGAACGGATGCGCAACATGAAATGAAATAATAATTCATGTAATTACAATACACTAAGGCCCAGGAGCATATCTATCGTTCGAAGATGAATAAAGTATATAAATGTATACATGTATTTCTTGAAGTCAAAGAAACTTTATCAACAATTTTTATTTAAACATTATTTTCCCATTTATAAGTTAAAAAAAAGAAAAGCGCAGTAATAGCATATCTTGAGATTAATTATTTAGATATAATTAAATTACATATGCTGGATTATTAATAAAATGTTAAAAATAAAAAACAAATAAATCGATTGTATTAAAGCGGAAAAAAATCATTTGATATTGAGAGATTATTGCGTGTGCAAAGTATCTGTATAGGAATATATATGTGTACATGCATAAAGACATGTTGTTGACGCACAAATACATTGACCAAAGGGATCGAGCACTCAGTTCTTTGGTGCAGAAAGATGGAATGTGGTCCGCCCGGCGTGCAAATACACCCACACAAGCGCTTACAAACGTGTTACATGCGTGCTCTTGTCCGCTTACTCTATACTTGGTTTTTTTGCCATTTTATAATGCATTAGATTTAAGACCCAAGTTAACTTAATGATTCAGCTGTATTTACAATCGTCACAGTATTCAACGGATAGATAATGAATTAACTTCATTCAATTATTATTATTCATTATTTCAAAAATTTTATACTTATTTATTTTTCAACTTGAAGTAATACTTTATTAAATATGCAATACTTCCTAAATAAATTGATCTTTTAAGTGTGAATAACATTCTTAAAGGATATGACTCATAATCTTTTCGCGCAACTGTTAAGCTATTATTACCGATCTGTATATAAAAGTTTTATCGAATTGATAAATAATAAAAAAAATTTATTTTCTTTCATGAAAGTTGTTGAATATAAATAATGATAAGTTTATTACATGATTATTTATTTATAAAATAGAATTAAAAATTTCAATGACTCGAAGAGAAATAAAAAACAGAGTAACATAAATATACTTGAAATTTATAGAGTCTTATTCACTGCAAGTTATAAGTGTTTTAAAATGTTCCTTCAAACACTTGGATTCTCAGTGTGTGTTTTATTCAAGTATCGTATTTGAATTTTAAAGATAGAAAAAAATGCATCATGTGGGAAATTTTAGTTGAAGCGTTTAAAAAAGGGTTGAAAGACTGTCAAAACGCAAAAATGGGTCACATTCGTGGTAAGGATGCTAGCAGTTATTTCACTCAACTAACCTTAAATAAAGTATCGCATTTCGTTCATTCAATTAGACTTTTTTTTGTTCTGTAAACAGACAGTCCGTTATAGTTTTACATAATATCACTGCAAATTTGAGTGTTTTAGAAAACGTTAAAAAAAAAATATTGGAATAAACCATTATTCAATCCCTTTAGCAATAATTATTACCTGAAAATAAAAATGAAAAAAAAAATTCTTTATTTCTTCAAATAATTTCACTACCCTTCCGATGATCCTCAAGGGTTACGAGGTAGCGCGAGATCAAACCGTTATAGTCAAAGGGTATATCCCATTTTTCGTTGTTCCTAATAGTTTTTTCACACGACAATCCCACACATGGTTGGCAGACCAAAATATATACCCTTTTTCCCTCTATTCAATTTCCGGTTTGATATATGTATACACACATACACAAAATCATTTTTTCCCGTTTTTTTTATTATTTCGTAGTCTCTGTGTACAGTTTTAAAAATACCTTATTCTTTTATCATTGAAAATACATATCAATTTTTTATCTTTCCTAACCAGATGGTGCATTTAGGACTTTTTTCCTTTTCCAACTTACTTGAAGTTTCCTTGATTAGAATACCTTTTTTTGTCTTCATTCTCTTTGTCATCTATTGATCTTTATGATCTGATCATTAGAGAAACTTAACTTGAGTGAGATGAAGATATGAACAAAGGTGTTTGATTATTCTTTTAGCATCTGCAATTATTTTCTCTATTTTTATCATCACTAAAATATTGTATTTATTCATTTGAAAAATTAATAATAATAAAAATTATTTTATAAAGTAAAAAAAAATGATTTATAATCAAATAAATATCTGATTAAGCTAAAAAAATGATCAATTAGTTGAGCTTTAGAGTTTAATTATTTAATTAGTGAGTGAAAAAATGTTAAATATTGTTACAATAATGTTGAGAATGTTATACACAGGTATGTAGATATAGTTGATTAATCAGCTACAATTAATCTAGGAAAGTTATGAAAAAAATGCAAGTGACATTTTCTTGAATATGCGGATATAAATAATTATTTCCATATAATTATAAAATTATTCCTATTACTAAAATAATTCGATAATCATATCGCAATGGCATTCCAATGTTTGAATCATTCAATATATCTGTAGTGTAGATAACATTCGCGATTGTTTTGCTTCTTGAATTTCTTTCAATGCACTTTCTACTTTACACATCAGTTTCTCACCATTGAAATCGACATTTGAACTAAAAAAAATTCAAGAATTTAACTTATTTTAATAACTACCGTCTCGGTGTGCACAATGTAGAGAAATCACTTGAAATATAAGGAATGATTTGATGCTAAGTATCTCATTAAACCACATAATTCTAATAATCATCATAACGAATTTTATAAAATAACAAAGAAAGTGCGAAAAAATGACAAAAGATTGACAACATGGTACATGGATGGCTTGCGTTGTATAAACGTGCAAGGAGGCGGGATATATTTCTCGAAAAAGTATAAATACATAAATTGAGGTGGGGAGAAATAGAGTTTGGATGGTAGCAGTGCAGAGATGCTAGATTGTTAGAAAGATCAAGTGGGGGGTTATAGAAGGGCAGTGAGACGAGTATTCGGCAGTGAACTTAAAGATTCAGTCGTCTCGCGTCAATCGAGTCGTAGTGTATGTTGGGGGTTTTTTGTTGCTATAATTACTCTATTTCAAATCCTCTTCTCTTAATCATCTGAATAACGATTTATAAAACATTCACTAAGACTTTACGTATTAACTGAATAACCTAATTCAATAAAACCTTATTATGACAATTAACGTCTTTAATAAGTTTAATAAATTACACAATTAACACAATCCATGGCAATGAAGATCAATTTGTCGATAAAAATAATTATCTTCAATTAAACAAATAAAAAATGTACATTTTTTCATTTGGTGATTGCAATGAAAAATGATTAACGCAGTAGTACAAGAAGAATTGAAGAAATGCTCTAGTTGATGATTAAAAATAATATTAGATGATGATATTTATAAATATAAATAAAGGTATATTAAAATAGGAAAATAATTGTTTAAGATTGTGTTATAAATGTCTTTTTTGTGATATTATAATTTTTATTCCAATTGAAGCAAATCATTTTCAGGGCTACAAAAGAATATTATTCCCCACTCTTGTTTTTTTCCATGTGCTCCGCCCCCACCTCACCCCCACTTTATTTCTGACTTATAGTGAGCCCCACGCCCCCTCCACTAACCCCACGCACACTGCGGTCTTCGGTGAATCGTCATCCCCTATCAGGCGCGAGTCTCCGACCGGGACAATTCAGCTTTCGTCGTTCGTACGTTCAAGTTAGGTGATCTGTACGCGATTAAGTGTGTCGTATTCGTTGAATACGTTTTTAATTGACGTTATTATTATATTTATCTGATAGATAATGATGATATATTAATAAACAATTAAACAATTAATTTAAATAATTATTTGACATATCATAAAATATAAATTTAGTGTAAAACTGTAACAAAGTTTGGAGAAACTAAACCACCAGGTTTTGTGAAATGTTTATAAGTGATTTCAACTAGTGAACCTTTATGATAATAATTATGAAATTTATTTATTTCATTAAATGAACAAGTTATTCAACAAAAAATACTCGGATTTAAGTGATTCTTCTTCTAAAGAAGAGAAAAAAAGAGAGAGATCTTCATCAGTGTTTGTGGATTTATTTATTTATTCATCAATTAATCAATTAAACTGGTGCTCATCGTGATTTGAATTTTCTTATGCATGTATGTATAATAGAGGATAATGTAATTTAATGTAATATGTATACATACAGATAAGGATATATGATAAAAACATTGGTTGTGTACAAATAATGAACTAGTGATTTATAAGATAGAAGAGTGTTAAAAATATTACTTTTACTTGTTGGATCAAGTAAAAATATTCATCGACATATTACATGTGCACTTAATCAATTAATATTAGCGACTGTTTAAAGTGACATTAATGAAGTCGAAGAAGAATTCTCCACGATGGATATAAGGTAAACCTACATAAAATCATCATTTTTGTTTATTTTAATATATTTTCTCGTTATTGCGTGGATTAGTTATTACTATCTTTGAATAATTTTTATTTTTTTATCCACTCTTGTAAACTGTCAATAACATTTACGTATTTATTTTATATTGCACTCGAGTGTGTTTATGTTGAATTTGATTTATCTAGTCTTTACATAAACTGTTTTACGATGATTTAAATATACATTAAAAAATATAAGTAATTTGATTATTTTAATCGCAATATTTATATGAACTAATAAATAATGATATTGGGTATTGACGGAAAGATGTTGAGAATTTTTTAAAAAAATAAGCACTGGTATGGTAATATATATAAAAAAAAATAATTGTCAAACGATATAAATTGAAGAAAAAAAGATATAAAACATATTTGTATCGGAGGAACATATAGAGGATTTAAAACGATGGAATAAAATAAATGTGAAAAGACTCGAAACAATTGCAGGGCATAAAGGTGGTCGCGTTGTATATAAGTCGTTTGGTATCGGTTTCTTTTAAGCTTCAAAAAGTTGTCTCATGTTTTTCGTTGACTCTTTGAAAATTATAATTGTTCGGTCAGAACATTTACTGCTTGAATTTCACGAAAACAAAAGATGACAAAAAGTACAGTTGAACAAATTTTTTTTAACATCGAGAAAAATGGAGCAAAATAAATCTGAATAATCAAAAAAAAACAACAAAAAAAAAAAAACAAAACACAACAAAAATGCGAGATAAGAAAAAGAACGGTGAATATTTATGCTTTAATAACTGAACACACACTCGGAGGAATAAGTTGAATGAAAGAAAAAAGAAAAAGAGTTTTAGTTAAATTGAAGAATCCGTGAATTTACAGCGTCGGCTGCTAAAACCACCTAGCAAATTTTGTGTGTTCATATGTTATATTACCGAGAACATTCATCTTTCTTTTCATCTTTTCTCTGCTTCACACCAACTAAACCGCTGCTCTTCACTTAATCTAATAAAGCCCACATGTTTTCTGCTTGAAATCTCAGTCTCTGAAAATTCACTTTTGAATTAATTTTTTTTTTTTAAATTCATTGTATAATTTTTTTTTTTGATTCATTAAAAAAATTAACCAGCGATTAAATTGACTCCAACAATATTGAATCACTTGAATTAAAACTTTTTTGATGTAAAGTTAAATAAGATGCATTCAAATTAAAGTAATTTTCAATTCATCACTGCAACACACTGAGAATACTTGAAGTCAAACTAAAAATAAAATTAATTTCTCTGAATAAATTTTTCTTACACATACGTCATCATATTCAGCACAAAATATTTGTCATTAACTCATTGTCAACCTAAATAAGATTTCAATTGATTTTCCACTTGAAAAAAAGAATGTACTTCTTTCGGAGTAATAAAAATCGATCATAAAAAAAATTTTCCCATCAAATAACTCTTTTCTAATAAGCTAAAAGATAGATACAATAGGCGGCTTCTTTGAATATTTTTTTTTCCTAGAACACATGTAATTATTTTTCAATTAAAAATCATTCTTTTTTTTTGCTCTAATACGCAAAGTAATATGTACACTTTTCTGTTACCTATTGTTCTCCGTAAGCTACATTACGAAATATTAAATCCATGTTCCATTCTAGTAAATGAACTCATCTGACTGTAACATCGAAAACTTTGTTTTATCTAACGTTAATTAATTCAAACAACTGAATCACGAAATGATTATGAGCTGCTGATTGATAGATTTTCCAAGAAATGGAGCACTTTTTGAAGAGTCGGTCAGTACGAAAATAACAGTAATTAATCAAAGTAAATTGCACGTTGATAAGATAACAATTGTATAACGTTAAAAATGATGATTAGTGATATAAGAGAAAACGAAAATAAATGAAAATGTTTGGTGAAGAATTGTGAGATTGTGGCTCATCTGAAGCACAGGCAGTAAAAGGCCTAAAGTTTTTAATACTTTCAGTTGTTTTTATGGCGGTTGGCATTTGCTCTTTTTTATTGTTCTCTTCGCGTCTCGGGGGTCTCGAAACGAAAGAAAGAAAGAGACCGAGTGAGAGTGTTAAGACAGAGAGAAAAGAGAGTAGATGTGAGAAAAGAGGGAAAAGAGTAAGCGAACAAGGGGGAATGAGCCCTCTGATGTACGACTTGGTCGAAGAGCGTGAAAAAAATCCCATAAACCAGTAAAAAAGCATTGAGATCTTTAGGCAAGAGGCTACGAAAAGAGAAAGAGGAGAGAGGAGAGTAGTATCGCCGGAATTCCTCTTATGACGAACCACGCGTGATTTTCTCTTTCTCTTCTTTCTCTTTTATTTCTTTTGGCTCGTCTCCGTATATTTTACTGTGTTCGAATGTCTGCTGCTGCCGCGGCCGCTGTTGCAGAATGAGAAAGAGAATGAGTCCTATACTAAAGGCCCTAAACAACTGCACCCTTTCAAAAGCTTTATACATGCTTTATTACTCTACCTCTTGTTATTAACATTCCACGAATAATTCAATTATTTTTTTTTACTATTTCAATCTTAACTATGAGTTTTATTTTTTCTACTTATTGATTCTATTTTTTCAATTTTTCACAGCAAATAATATTTTTTGGAATTTACAGAATAAATATGTGTCTGTTGATTTGTTCAAAAATTCTTTTTTTTCTTCCAACACATTGCTTAAAACTTCCTTCTATTAAAATTAGTGACTTTGCGTTGTTCATTCTCTTTAATTATTTCTCGTCTAAATGAAACTCCACACACTAACCCTTAAGTATGATAAAAGCATATTAGGTAAAAAGCAAAAGTAGAATTAACCCTCTCGGGCTTTTTGGGTTTCTCGATAGATAAAAGATTGGAAAAAAGAAAATGACAAAGTAAATTCGAAATTTAGATGATGCAGAAAGATTCTTATATACATTTAAAATGAAAGAAAGATTTGGATGCTTTGAAATATACAATAACGACTGGTTATTAAACTTGAGATAATTATCGATTTTAATTATCAACAAGAATATACCTCTAACCGCCATCAAAAACCTTTTGCTTATTCCCGCCTATTTTAGCCATCAGGTCTGCCAGTCAGTCCCTCTCGTATAGTGTGTTTTATGCCTCGAGGAAAAATTACCAGTCCCTAAAAAGTCAAAATAATTTTTTGCTCAGTCAGTTCATTAAAATTTAGCGTCATAAAAAAGCACTGGCTTTTTATAATATTTTGCCAATTAGTCTAGAGATGATAGCTATTAAAATTAAAAAATAAAAATTTGCAATTTTGACAAATTTCATTTTTCAATGATAAATTATTTTCAACTATACAAATATTACCAAATTTATTGAAAAAAAAAAAATTCTTCAAAATCATTTCATCATATTCTCATACGAAAATAATTTTTTCTTTGATTAAAAAATGACTATTGTTCAAAGGAAAAATAACTCATAATCTCGTTATAAATGTACTTGAAGCAAATTGGAGCACATTTGTTTATCACATAAACTATTTATTAATTTTTCAAATAACTAAAAGCAAATAACTAACAACATGGATGATTAGTGAATGAATATTTAATGAAATAAATGAAATAAAAATAAAACTTGTTATTAAACCCTTGAAAATATTGGTAATTTTTAAAAATAAATTATTTGCTCCAATTTACAACGTACACAGCAAATAATTTACTTCGTAGCTCACAATCATTAAATCAGATAAAAAATTAGAGATTTATCGTAATGAATATTAATACAACTCTAATTCCAATAAATAACGATATATCGAATAATTAATTTGATTATTATTCATAATTAATAATAAACAAACTAACAAAAATCCTAGAGAATGATTTTGATCAATTCATCCAAGAATTTATGTCCGTTATTCAAAGATTAATTAATAATTAGAGCGGCCCACCTATCGAGGACCTAACCCACATTCCAGTTGCCAGCTGTCTCTGTGTAGCTTGTTTGAATTTTTTTTTTTCGTACTGTTGCATCCTTATTCTTATATACATGCATACATATTGCCACCATAGTACAGGTATTTTACTCTCCATCTCTGTTAATCTTTATTTTCTCTCTATTTGAATTTACTCATACACACACAAAGTAAAGTTGCTCCTGGAGATAAACGCCTACGTTACAGTAAGTCGGCAACTTGAACGTCAGGGTCTTTTAAACATAGCGGTACAATAAAGTAAAATATAGAGACGAGAAATCTATCGAAAGGTGGAGCAATAAGCGAAAAAAAATGTGGAAAATATTTTATAATTGTGTTTAGGTCAAACACGTGCCACATAGACATAAGCATATCCGGGCATATAAGTGCAAAATGTAGGTTGTATTTCAAATTATATTATAAGCCATACCAGGGATTGTAACATACATAAGTGGTTCAACGTTTAGCCTATCTATACTGTACCACTGTCCAGTAGACTAATAATATCTATATCAATTTGCAGTTGTTCCTTTATCGATGATAAGACTGGATCCATAGATGTAGTCTGACGAGTATCTAGATTAGTTTATTACTGAATCTCTACAGAACAACTGGTTACTGGCAATTATTTTTATCTTATGTCATTTTTTATCATTGTTGTTGTTGTTATCATTTAAAATATGTGATTACGACAGACTAATAAAATTTTACAAAGGTCAATAAAAATGATTATAAAATTATAGCAACAACTTTTATGTTAATCTCTAAACAAAACATAAATAATATTTGACATTGGTGGTAGGTAAAATCAACTAGCAGATCTGCTCATATTACCAAAACTCATGACAGATTCATGATTTGAATATTACATCTTGAGTATTGATGAGATAAATGATACTTTTTTCTAGCAATCACATGTAAAATGTGAATGCATTTAATCATCTTTATTGCACGTCAAAACCTATGTTTAGTTGATGTGAACATGAAGTAGGCATAGAAATGAAAGAAATAAAACGAGGATGATGAGGATTCAAAGGTTGGGATTTAAATACTAGACTGATGATGATCACCATGG